ATTTACCCCACAATATTGAATGTTACTCAACCAAGAGTTAAGATGTACACATGGGCTCAAGCCTAATACTCATATGCCAAATGGATTACATGGAGCATGTGTTGACAGTTTACCCAAGAGAGTTAGTAACCTGCCAATTTTTACATTACCTGTGTGACTCAAGGGGAGTTGTTGTGGCTACTGAATGTGTGTAACACCCAGACATTGTAAATTCTGCCACCCTTGGCCAAAATCTGAAAGTGAAATGTAGGTGTGTTGCTACCCTCTGTCAAAGAGGGTAGGGTGTTGTTTTGGGGAAATGTAATCTGAGTACAGCAGAAAATTCAGAGGGCACTCAAACTATTTTAAAAAAGAAAATAGATTACTAATGCTTGCTGGGAGGGAAGGGGGGACAGGAGGGGCAGAGGAGTTGGGGAGAATATGGGCACAGCAATTTGAGGCTGCAGTGAGAGGAGGGGGACCAGGAAGAGAGAGATAAATGGGGATGGGTGGTAGGGGTGAGAGGTTGGGGGCACAGGTCAGGGGAAGGGAGGATTGGGGAAGTGGGAGGGGATAGGTGGGACACTGGTGACATTGGCATTGGCATGGGTGGGACACTGGGGCATGGGTGACATGGGTGGCAGGGCAAGTTGGGAAATTAGGAGTGGGGGATACCTGTCAGACCCACATTTTCCCCTGTTGTGTGTGTGCCAGGTTCTAGGGGAGCCCTACCCCTCTGGGGTGTCTAAGCCCCTCTCTCTGCCCACTGTGAGCCAGCATCTTGGGAAGTCTGAGCCCCACTCCCTGCCCCCCATGTGATCTGACTTCTAGGGAAGCTCTGATCCTCTGGGTGGGGAGTGGAGAATATGCATGTTGGAAGCGGCACCAAGAACACCTTGCTGAGAGTGCGTCAGGAGCTGATAACAGGGATGCTTGATGCATATCACAGGCTCTCAAACTTTGGCAGTGGGGAGGAGGAATGAGAACACCCACTGAGATGAATAAAGCAGTTCACCTGGCTCAGAGCTATTGTTTCAGGCTGTATTCATCTCCTTAGGGTATTCTGAGACTATGACATTGAGATGAATTGGCTACCTCACATATCTCTGAGCCTCTTATGCAGCAGATGGATGTATTGAACCCCTTCCTTCCATCCTCTCTGTAGCCTACCTAAAAAATCCCTATTTCAGGATTATTGTTTGGGGATTTGGCTATAACAAAGCATTTGCTGATGACTAATTTCTTACTTACAGTATTATATCAGCACATCAGCTCTGCTATGATTAACACTGGCAAATCCTTAATGTTTAAAAAATGACATTTCTGACTTTCACTTACCAAGTGCTCTAAAATCTTCATGCTTAGTCAAATTGAGTTGAAATTTGGTGTGCTTCCTGGGCAGCGGGTAGGGTTAGTGCTGCAAATTTGAGGTCAGTTGAGCCAGAGGCGGCTCTAGCTATAGGCAATATAGGCAGCTGCCTAGGGTGACAGATTTGGCCCAGTTGCCCTTCTGTCATGGTGCAGGGGCATCCAGGCCAAATCTGAGTGATGTTGTAACCCCATGTGCCAGTTCGCAACACCATTCCCTTATATTTGGTCCAGTTGCCCCTCCATCATGATGGAGGGATAGCTGGGCCAAATTTGAATGGGATGAGGTGCCACACTGAAGGGTTGTCAAGGATGGCAGATTGCCTTGAGCAGCTTCTGATTTGAGCAAGAGATTCCCCTGAAAAAACCCACCAGCATTTCATAAAGTCAGCACATTCTACCAACATTTTTTGCATACTCTTGGAGCTCAAACCATGACTTTGATCATCCCTCACTCAGCTACCACTAACATTTAACCTAGCTGGCGCATGGCACCCACCCTTTGGCAAAGCAATATTGAACTTGTTATTACAGAAAGAGTTAAGTTCTCTAGATTAGCCTATGAGACTCAGGAGTCCTGAGTTCTATTTCTGTCTCTGCCACTGGCCTGCTGGGTGACTATGGGGGAATCCCTTCCCTCTTGGTGCCTCTGTTTCCCCATGTGTAAAATGGGGGTGACGACACTGACCTCCTTGGTAAAGTGCTTTGAGATCTACTGATGAAAAGTGATATATAATAGCTAGGTATTAGTATTGTTACCTAAGGTTTGTCTACACTTGAAATGCTACAGCAGCCACTGTAAAGCTTCCATGTAAACACTACTTATGCTGATGGGAGAGGTTCTCCCATTGGCATAGATAATCCACCTCCCCAAGAGGTGGTAGCTAGGTCGATGGAAGAATTGTTCTGTCGACCTAGCGCTGTCTACACCAAGGGTTAGGTTGGTTTTGCTATGTCACTCAGGGTGTGGATTTTTCACACCCCGGAGCAATGTAGCTATGCCACTGTAAGTTCACAGTGTAGCTTGGCTCTTAGTCACAGTAGTGTCTCAGCTGCAAACCTATATGATAACTCCTACTGCCTACATGACCACTGACTCCTACAACAAATATTTATCTTTCTGTTAAAAAATAGGAAACTGACACCAAAAACTTCATTAATATACATAACTAAGTAAAAGTTAAGGTATTTCAAACTTAAACTTCTGAAAACCCTGAAATATAGAGTTAAGGTACATGCAAACACAACCTTAACTCTGTCCCCTTTGAGCGATGAGCCAATACCACCCATAATGCACGTTCGCAATCTTCCTTTGCAGATAGTGCACATCACTCAAGGAATAGGGTACATGACAACTGTAGCACAGAGTCCAATGCCTTCTCTTTCCTAAGACAAAACTTGTGTTTAAATGAGTTACCTAGCCCTGTTGTACATTCAATGAGCCCCACAAACAACCCCACCCTTAATACATTTTACAACCCCTTCACCTCTTTTTCAACCCACTCACTCTCACCCACAGTATTCAATCTAACACTATATTTTCACTTACCGAGCTTTAAACCCACAAACTATGTCCCATAACCCATATCCCCCCGCAGTGATGGAAATCCCCATGGCAAGAAGACCCCTGTGCTCCACCATTGACACAACCTACAGAACTCAGCACTGAAATGAAGCATATCTCAAGGATGCACCTCTTCCACCTTGGGTGACCAGATAGCAAGTATGAAAAATTGGGACGGGGGTGGGGGGGAAATAGGCTCCTGTATAAGAAAAAGGCCCAAATACCGGGATTGTCCCTATAAAATCGGGACATCTGGTCACCCTACTTCCACCACACATACAGGGGGGCGGTGGGAAGGGAAGGTGATGGTCAGATCAACCAAGTGGGTCTGGGGGCCCACAGAATTCCTCAGATCCCAATCACAGCCCTGCCAAGATACTCCCAACTAATCCCTCCACCATTCAGTACAACTCCACCTAACACAGTGAACACAGATGGAGTGCAGACAGATAATTGCCACTGGCTATTGCCTGCTCAAGAGTGGCAGACGTAAGGCTGCATTGGCATGTACCTTAACTCTGAATTTAAAATACCTCGACTCTTCATTTGTGGTTCTGGAAGGGGACAAGATACCACAAAGCAACCTTAACGCTGCATTAAGGATGGTTTTGTCAGAGACTATTACTGTATGTAATCAAGCATTCCAATGGCTGCAAAGAAGATGCACAATTGTGAGGGAAGTATCAGAGGGGTAGCCGTGTTAGTCTGGATCTGTAAAAAGCAACAGAGAGTCCTGTGGCACCTTTAAGACTAACAGATGTATTGGAGCATAAGCTTTTGTGGGTGAATGCCCACTTCGTCGGATGCATGTCAATTGTGAGGGAAGGGCGCCTTAGCTCTTAAGAAAAGAGCCACTGTTGGCAGAAAGTAAATTTCAAGGGGAAGACAAAGTTTAAGTGATCCAGGAGGAGGGGAGTGGGATTCCTGGGGAGGGCTGCATGGGGACATTCCAGGAGCAAGGGAGCTGGGGAATCCCGCTGGGTGGGAGAGGTCTGGGGAAGCTTGGGTTATGGCAGGGGTGGCCAACCTTTGGCTCCGGAGCCACATGCGGCTCTCAGAAGTTAATATGTGGCTCCTTGTCTAGGCACCGGCTCCGGGACTGGAGCTACAGGTGCCTACTTTCCAATGTGCCGGGGGGGCGGGGTGCTCACTGCTCAACCGCTGGCTCTGTCACAAGCCCTGCCCCCACTCCACCCCTTCCCATCCCCTCCCCTCAGCCTGCAGTGCCCTCACTCCTCCCCCCTCTCCCCCAGAGCCTCCTGCTTGCCAGGAAACAGCAGATCGGGAGATGGGAGGCACTGATCAGCAGCAGGGCCGCCCACAGGATTCAGGGGGCCTGGGGTATAAAAAAAGGCGCTACCCGCTGCGGCGCTTGTACTCACCGGGCGGCGCTCCAAGTCTTCGGTGGCACTTCAGCGACGGGTCCTTCACTCGCTCCGGGTCGTCATCGGCACTGAAGGACCCACCGCCAAAGTGACGACGATGACCCGGAGCGCCGCCGGGTGAGTAAAGATTAAAAACGTGCCTCTACCCAGGGAAGGGATTCTCGGCCAGGGCTCGCGGGGCCCCTGCGGGGCCCGGGGCAAATTGCCCCCCCCCACCCCCCGGGCAGCCCTGATCGTCAGGGCTGCCGGTGGGTGGGAGGTGCTGGGAGTGGAGGGAGGAGGGAAGCTGATGTGGGGCTGCTGACATATTACTGTGGTTCTTTGGCAATGTACATTGGTATAAAGCCTGGGGAGTAGAGAGCCAGGGGATCCCCGTGTGTCCCCTTGGGTGCCTGGGGAAGATGGGAGCCTGGGGACCCCTGCATGAATGAACGAACAGATGGGGATGTGTGGGAGCCGAGAGGGGTTCGGTGGGGAACCCGGAGCTTTGCAGGAAACTCTAGAGACACAAGCTAAGCAGAGCCATCGGCAGGTGAGGCGCGGCCATTCCCGGGAGCCGGAACCTTCCTCTGCACTCACGGCTCCGGCGTGCGATTTCTCTGCCTCCCAGGAGGGGGCACCAACTTCCGTTCGCGCCCCTGGTGTGTAGGGCGGCTCTCTCTCGCGGCGACGGCTCCCTCCGCCTCGTCGGCCAGGCTAGGTGCTGCGGCTGCGCAGTGGGCACGGCCTTTTCCCCCAGTGCTACGGGCTGTGGACGTTGCGCTGAGCGGCCCCCGGCCTAAGCCGAGACGGGACAGAACCTGGCGCAATGGTCAGTACCGCGCACCAGGGGCCCAGCAGGGGTAGGGGGGATACGGGCCGGTGCCCCCCCGCCCGCTGCAGCCTCCAGCGCGGCCCCCGCCGGCCCGATGGACTCTGATTGGGGAGGCGCCCGGGCCCGGCTGCAGCAGCTTCCAGCGTGGCCTAATGGCCGCCCCCGCCGCCTGGGCCCGCTGCTGCCGGGACAGGGCCGGCGGCTCCCCGGGGACAGTAGCCGCTGGCACAGGCCTGGCACAGCGCCTCAGCTGCCGGCTCCTCAGGCCCGTGTCAGCCCCCCTCAGACCCGTGCCGGGCTGTAGGGAGCGGCGGGCTGGGTGTCTCCGCCATGTCTCCGAGTGCGGCCGGCGCTGTGCGGTGGAGAGCGCTGGGCCCTGTCTGCGAGGCTCCGCATGGCAACTCTTGAGCCGCGCATGCATGGCCCCGGCCTGGCTCATGTCGTATGGACAGGGCTGTGCTCGGCGCTGTCTAGCTGCGAGTGAGACGGGGGGGGCAGGGCACGGGGGTTCTGGGGGGAAGCACTTGCTTTATCGGTCTCCCTGGGTTGTTGTGAAAATGCTCCATGCCCCCTCTAGCAACTGGCTGTTGGCTTCAAATTTGGCAGCGCCAGTTTCATACCAATATTCTCTTCCCTCGCCCTTCCCCTCGCTGCCACAGGTGGGCTTTGATGCGAATGTGCCAACTTAGTGTGGTCAGTGATAAGTAGTGGAGACTGGTTGGACGTTTTCTTATGTTGACATTAAAGCTGGTAATTGTCCTTCTGACACTATTGCCTTGCTCAAGAAAATAATTATGATTACATAGTAATAAGTGATTAAATTCGTTTATTTGGGTAACATAGTTTAAGAAGCATCTAATTAATGAATATGTATTATACATCTAATGAGCCTCCAGTATTTCTCTACTTCACATAAATCCACATGAAATGAGACAATAAGATGTGCCTTAAGTTAGAATTTGAAGGTTCCTTTCCTCTCTTCCCTTGGAATAACTTCTGGTTTATAATGTGTTTAGTCTGAGAAAACACTGTATCTCCTATCTTTTCAACCCCTCCTCCCACAAACACTTTTTAATTCACAATAGCCATCAGTAGACTTCTTAGTGCTGTGGTAATTGTGTCCAGTTGTAATTATGTTTTCTTTGTTCAAGGGGTTTGTGAAAGTTGTCAAGAATAAGGCCTACTTCAAGAGGTACCAAGTAAAATTCAGGAGAAGGAGAGGTACAGTTAATTTTTCTATAGCTCAAAGTAAACTATATTGATGTATGTCCTTGCTGTTTGTTTCTCATGTCCATGCTATTGTCTTTTCAGAGGGAAAGACTGATTATTATGCCCGTAAGCGTTTGGTGATTCAAGATAAAAACAAGTATAACACCCCTAAATATAGGATGATAGTACGCATTACCAACAGAGATATTATCTGCCAGGTAAGGATTTCTTTGCTTGGCTACTTGGCTATACCAAAGCACTGCCTTTTTTACCTTTATACTAAGGAGGAAAAAAAGCAACTCTGTGTTTTAAGGTCTGGTCTAACCACAGTTTTTGTTGTGGTATAGCAATGTCTATTAGGAGTGTGATTTTGATCATTATGGATAAAGCATTGCAGTTATATCAGGGAAGTAGGTATAAATGTGCTTCTTCCCGGATGGGGAATAAGCGCTCATGGTACAAATACAGTTGAACTGATGTAATTGCATCAGAGGCAGTTCAAACCCTCACTGCTGAAGCAGAAATGAAGCGGTTTTCTTAATCTTGAGTGCTCGTTTTCAGTTCAGAATGACACACACACTGAGCTATCTCCATCTTCCTTAGGCATAAAGAAGCAAGACTGACCATGAGGTCTTGTCAGGTGGATCCTGCTCCTGCACTGTTGTGGGGGTCTCCTCTCACCCCCAAACGTTCTGTTCGCTCCAGAAGCAAATGTGCTTTTAACAGCTTGTCCATAAAATCCTGAATCATAGGATTTAGTTGGGGATTGGTCCTGCTTTGAGCAGGGGGTTGGACTAGATGACCTCCTGAGGTCCCTTCCAACCCTAATATTCTATGATTCTATGACACCTTTTGAATTATAGGTGAATAGACTTTTCTTATCTGTGCAAATAGAACACTTTAAGCTTGGAAACTTCATATAGGTTGTTTTTATAGTCCTTAATAAGGACTATATCACAGTCCAAGTTTGAAGGAAACAGGACAACAGATAACTGCAATAAAAATGTAGAATATGTACAAATGCTGCACATGCCCCTTAGTCCTCTTCAAGTTTTTAAAAAACATTTTCCTTCCTCTTGCTGTCTGAAAGTACCACACAAATAGGGGAAATATCTGAATGCAGATGAATGGTGAAGTTGACTAGCTGTAATTGCTGTCAAATACACAAAGGTGAAACTAAGAAAATAACTGTTATCTTAACTATTGTAATGGTAGGTTTTTTTGGGGGGGAGGAGGTTCAGATAGAAGTGACTATTTCTATTTGTCAGTTTAGCTCTGATGCAATAGAAAAAGCAGTATTGAGGCTGCATTATCACAGAGTTGTACTTCAACTCGTTACATTTTTTATACTTTTTACATTTTGAGGTTTACTTTTAAACCTTTCATAATCATGTCGTAAATGGGGAAAGATGAATAATTTAGATCTAAATTTGTGTTTTCCAAACCTGCATGTGGAGGTCTTGCAGTACTCCCATTGACTTTAGTAGGATTTCCACATGCAGACGAGAGGCAGGTTTGAGCCAACAATATTATAACCGGTGTGAGAACACTAACGTTTATTTTGTTGTCAGATTGCATATGCCAGGATCGAAGGTGATATGATAGTCTGTGCTGCGTACTCTCATGAGCTGCCAAAGTATGGTGTGAAAGTTGGTTTGACCAATTATGCTGCCGCCTATTGTACGGGCCTGCTGCTGGCCCGCAGGGTATGTACCCACTAAACTTATATCTAAATGTCAAAGGGCTTGCTTCAGTAGATGGGGAGAAAATAAAGGAGTCTGTCTTACAAAACAGAGGGTTCCACTTGTATATGACTTATTTGGAATTGTGTTCTAACTATTTAGTTTAAAAAACCCTGAATTTGTAGATTGATTTGATTAGCCCACCCATGTTTATTAGACAGCCACGTTGGGCAAAGTATGCACAGATTTATTTAGTGGTTCCTGTTAAAACCTTCTGAAGGTAAGATTAGTATGCACTCTTACTGAGAAAGCATTAATGTAGAATACCTGGGTACGACCACAAATACAGAATCAAGTTTTATGATGATTGTCTTGCAACATGAAAACACTTCATTTTGGTTCTTAAATCAAAGAACCTAAATGTGGAGAGAATCTGGAGGAAGACATACTTACACTGTACTGTTCCTGTTACAGCTTTTGAACAAATTTGGCCTTGATAAGATTTATGAAGGCCAAGTTGAAGTGACTGGTGATGAATATAATGTGGAAAGTGTGGATGGACAGCCTGGTGCTTTTACATGCTACCTGGATGCAGGTCTTGCCAGAACTACCACTGGAAACAAAGTCTTCGGTGCGCTAAAGGGCGCAGTGGATGGTGGCCTGTCCATCCCTCATAGGTAACTTAATCTCAGATAAATTGGTCAAAAGGGAATTTTGAACACTGAGACTTCACATCTTTGTATGCATTGTAGTGCTATTTTAACTTCACCTTAGGTTAGTTGAATTCAGTGTGGCGTGACCCTGTTAATGTGGTAATTAGGTTTAATCCAAGTTGTATTTACTTGTTTTCAGTAGATGTTATTGACATTCCTCCCAAGGACTCTTGAAGTTAAGGGAGTAAGATTAATGCTTATTTCCATAAAGGTTACTAAAATACAGCAATATAATCACCTTTCACCTTGAATATCTAGTAACTGCAGTTAAGCAGAGTAAACACTTCTTACTGTTCATATTGCCATAGAAACAGTTTGTAGTAACGTGTAATTCTTTTTAATTCTCTGTCTTAACTCCTATTGTCTGACTTTCTATTTTGAGAAACTACGTACACCACGTTCAAAATGATCATTGGCCTTAGGCCCTCTATACAACTATTAGTGGAAACTTGGGCCAGAATCTAAAATCCATCTACAGTGGTGGCACAGGTTTCTGTGTAGAAGTCCTGGCAACCCCTGCTGTAAGCTAGGATCAGTGAACGATCATGACTCAGGGTTGTCGCCTGCATTGCCTAATTTTGATGTTTGTTGATTGCTTCTATGAATGCAGTTGTGAAAAATAGCCTGCAAACAGCAGCTGGGATAACTTATAAGAAAGGGGGAAAGTTCAGTGTTGCTGCTTTTTTTTTTTTTTTTTTTTTTTTAAGGCTGTCAACCTTCTGTCGGTTCTTTAACTTGGCTGCTATATGATGATACCCCAGTGACTGAGCAGTCTGTAGTTGGTCCTCGGTCTGTGTATGCTGTATGTCATTGTTTCAAGACGGGACTGATGGCAGCTAAGGATGTCAATTTGCAAGTTGATTTCTTAACTTTGCTTATAGAAAGCATAATCTGTCAGCTGGTTTAAAATTCTTTTTCTTTGGTCACACTTTCCAGCTACCTGTAGGGGAGCTATGGTGTATCAGTCACTTGAGACTTGTAGACTGCAGTCTCTGAATCTTAAAGAACTTCTTAAACCAACTTTGATTAGGTGATGTAAAATTCTAACCACTAACCTATAACTCGTGTTTCATAGCACCAAACGTTTCCCTGGTTATGACTCGGAAAGCAAAGAGTTTAATGCAGAGGTTCATCGCACACACATCATGGGTCAGAATGTTGCAGGTTACATGCGTTACCTGATGGAGGAGGATGAAGATGCCTACAAAAAACAGTTCTCCCAGTATATAAAGAACAATGTAACACCTGACATGGTAAGACACTGTCTGTCTGTAAATGAATTGCATATTAGTAGTGGCGCTAAAAGATAATTTGTGTTGTTTAAAATTGATGCTAGGGATGCAAATACTTTGCAAAATAGTAATGTGGGCCATGTAGATGGCATGTTATCAGACCAGAGGGGTACTCCCAATGACAGGCCTCTGCAAACCTAGTGCTATGATTCTTAAAAGTTGGACACATTCCCTGAACCCAGAACAGCTGGTAATGAAGGAAAAATATATGACCTCTCTTGTCATACTACATGCTTCACGAAAAAGATGATAAAGGTGTGACCTGCTATCAGAAAGCTTAACAGCTTGTTAAATGTCTTGTTTGACAAATATCAGACCAAGGAGCTATCTACTTCTTTCCATGACACTGTTCTACCAGAATAATTTGTTGCCCTTCCTCCTCCTAATTCTTCCTTACCAATGGTTTCTTGCCTGTCCTATTGTTATGTTATTTTCCTTGTTTCCCTGTCACTCCTGATTCTCTGAGAATGTTCTGTTTGTATCACCTGAAAAAGCCGATTTAAATAGCAGTACAATGTGAGAACACTATATACAGCCCCTTGTTAGTTTTTAGGTATTATTATGTTGGTATCTTGTAAATCATTTTGCTAGTATGTCTTAAAGTCTTGTCTTAAAATAACTCCAACTAAATTTTAGTATACTAAACATTTAAGAAATTCCATGAAAATTACAGTGAAACTTTGGCATTTACAATCTTAACTTCTTTATTCTCTGAAGTAATTTATGCAGTTTATATTGCCATGAAGTCTGTACTCCAGTCTTATGCTTACAGCAAGAACTCTATCTTAGTGCCCATACAGCTCTTTAACAAATCTAGTGTAAGCTTTCAAAATCCTTTCAGGGCCGACCTACATACAAATTTTTACCAAAATAACTTTAGCTATGTCTACACTACAGACCTTACAGTGGCACAGCTGGACCACTGCAGCTGTGCTGCTGTACGGTCTCCTGTATGGCTGCTCTATGCCGACAGGAGAGAGCTCTCCTGCTGACATAATTAAACCACCCCCAACAAGGGCGGTAGCTGTGCCAGTCGGAGACGCTGTCCTGCCGACATAGCACTGTCCACACCGGCACTAATCTGCATTAAAGAATACTAATGGTACGCTTCCATGTGTGCAATTGCCAGGAATATACTGCAGTCATGAAGGGAGGGGAAATGTCCCTGAGATGTGGTTTAGATGCATTCCATGTTTAAAGAGAACCGCTATATTAGACAAGAAAACTTATGCTGAAGCAGTCAGAATTGTTCCTTAGTAGTGGCCTAGTCCTAGTGCATAGAGCACTGTATTGGAAGTTGCGGACCTGGGTTCTATTCCTGGCTGTATCACAGGTATGCTGTGTGATCTTGGGCAAATCACTACTGTTCTGTGCCTCAGTTAGCCCATCTGTAAAACAGGGATAAAGATGTTGACCTCCTTTCTAAAGCACTGAAATCTGCAGCTGAAAAGTGTTATTTAAGAACTAGGAATTTTTATTTCCAAATTTGCTAAGATGGAGGTTCTCTGTTTAGAGATGGGTTTTAGTGCAGCTATTCTTGTATATTTCCTTTACCTCCCACAACTAAGTGATTTCTGATGGGATGACCTAACACCCAATTGATAAATTCATCAGTTACATGGCTTAAGAATTAGTGACTCAGACTCTGCCATTCTCTCACCCCTGCATTAACAATAAAATTTCTATCTTTATTGAGCCACAGCTGTACAAAACACTACCACTATTGTGAAAAATTGCATGTTTTTTAGTTCCGATTACTTCATTCACATCTGGCCATTGTTGTTGATCACTGACTTGAACCAAAACCTAACTAAATGTTCCCTCAAGACATGTATAGTTTTTGGAGAAACTGACATGACTTGAGTTTTCCTCCTTTGCCTGGGGCATGCTAAACATTCCAGTTTCATTTAGAGAACTTCCTGAGCTAGTTCTTAATTTAGGTTGAGGAAGGAGACATTTTGCAAAAGCGATGCACATAACATGGATAGACTTCAGAGAAAGGATGATCTAGTGGTTAGGATGCTTGTCCTGGGTTTCATGAAACTGGTGCAAATCCCTGTTGCCCTGTAGACTTTTTGTGACCTTGGCCAACTAACTTAGTCTCTCTGTGCCTCAGTTCGCTGCCTGCCATGGGTATTGTGAGGTGCTCATACTATGCTATAGTAACTGGTGGGACCATCTAAGCACCATAGATAGACAAATGAGACTCTCCCCTGTAAAGAAAAAGTTTCTTTGGATTCCAAAGCCAACCATGCTCTTAGCTGAAGGATGACTTTTTTTTGTGGTAAAGTCCTATCTCCTGAGCACAAGAGTGCACTGCTGGTTGAAGGGTGGCATTTGATATCAACAGTATTTTTAGAACTTCAGATAGGTTTTGCAGAAGAAAGTTTCTGGTGTGAAATCTGTAGTGCATGTCTGTGTGCACAATTCCTGTGGGAGTTGCAGGCTTATTGCCTTTCTAAGGTGCTCCTTTGAACTGCATCTGAGGCTTTGTCTACATTGGCACTTCCGTTGCTTAAACTTTTGTCGCTCAGAGATATGAAAAAACACTCTCCTGAACGACCAGTTTTAGCAACGAAAAGTGCTGGTGTGGACAGCACTTCGTCAGTGGGAGCCACGCTCCCGGTGACTAAGCTACCACTCCTTGTTGGAGGTGGTTTTATTTTGTCAACAGGAGAATGCTCTCCCGGCGACAAAGAGCAGTCACAGAGCGCACCTTGCAACACAAGCTGTTGTAAGGTGCGCAGTGTAGACAGCCTTGCTCTGTCTTAAGTTACTTCTAAGTTACTCTTTCTGGGAGGAAGACTTAGCACCTTAGGTGGCTGTGTTCTGTTCCCAGTCTGGTTTAGACCTCTCTGTAGGACTGTTAAAGATGTTGAGAGAATGCATTTGACCTCAGTATTCTTTCTCTACTCACTGGTATGTTCTTGGCAGTGGGATAACTCCCAACTTGAATGTTAGAACTTCATTCAATGCATACATGACTTTATGGACTACATTGTATTTCTTGCAGATGGAGGAAATGTATAAAAAAGCCCATGCTGGTATACGGGAGAATCCAGTCCATGAAAAGAAACTCAAGAGAGAAGTCAAAAAGAAGAGGTAAAATTTTTCCTCCTTTGAGTTAGATATGCCTGTTACAAAGCAAATTTCTGGAGCTGTGGCATTTGTTAATTAATTCCTCCAGTCCCTGTTTAATATTGAAACTAATTGGATGTTTCAGAAATGATCTAGGACAGGGGTTCTCAGACTTCATTGCACCGTGACCACCTCTGACAACAAAGTTACTACATGAACCCAGTGGGAGGGCTGGAGCCTGAGCCCTGCCACCCTAGGTCTGGGGAGAGGTGGCCACAGCCCAAGCCCCACTGCCCTGGGTGGAGTTCGGACTTCAGCTTCAGCCCTGGGTCCCAGCAAGTCTAATGCTGGCCCTGGCGACCCTATTGGGGATCATACTTGAGGTCCATCTAGGCTAGTTGCCTGTTTGACAGTGCTGCCACCACACATCTTAAAATTATTTCCCTTAGTAGTAAACTGGATACTACAGTGCAAAACATGGTGCACTTTCATAATGTGACCAAACCTTGTTGTGGTATACCAACTAATCTATTGCCTCGACCACTGAAAGAAAGAGTGCTATAGAAAGTAATCTCTGAAACACTATTTCCTAGGCATAATAATATAAATCTCACACTCATTCCTTATGGTCATGTAACTCCTGGTGTTCTGGTATTTAGATTTACTATTACTGCCTTGTGTATTTATACCATGTTTGCATTGCAGATGGAACCGTCCCAAGTTATCCCTTGCCCAGAAGAAAGATCGTGTTGCTCAGAAGAAGGCTAGCTTCCTCAGGGCCCAGGAGCGTACAGCTGATAGCTAAGATATCTTCTACAATTTTCTATGAAGACTTTGAAAAGTACAATAAATTTATTGAACCAGCAACTGTGTAGCATTGGCTTATTGACATTTGATCTAAAGATGCTTTATCTAAATGAAAGTCCCAACAATCTATCTGAAAAAGAGGCTTACAAAATATTCTACAGCGTTAGAATCATGATGATGGTCTTCAAGGTAACTTAGTATGTTTAAGGATCCAACTTACTGTATTTCACAGACCACTGGATAATGTTATAAACTTTCATTTTGTCACCTATTGACTTTCTCACCCTGTGAATTTTTGGCACTGGCTCTATTTCTCAGTTAACTACCTTTGTCTGTAGTTCTACTGGAATTTTAGCTTTATGCATTGGAAAGTAAGATGAGATTTTAAATACACTTTGCTGACAAGTCATAGGCATTGGTGAGTCTAGATAATAGCCAAAAGAAAATTAGTGTTAATTAAATGGGTTTATGTATGCATGTGATTATCCATTCCTCCTAACTAAGAATGTGTACTTAATAGTGGCAATCAGTGTCTCCTGTAAACTGCACACATGTGGCTGCACAAGTCAGAAACTGTGCCTCTGTGGCCCCAGCAAGGCTGTGGTCTGGTCCTTTAAGAACCTGCTGTACTCTGTTCAGTGCTGTGCGACACTCCCCCGTGGCATGAAAGCCTTCCTCCTCCTCTTGAGGCCACGCCTGGCTGGGAGGAGGTGGTGGGACAGCTCCTTTAGCAACAGCTCTGCTGTAGCCACCCAGTTCGGGGAGGCTCTGGAGTTAGTCTGAAGAGGCCAAAGCATCTCACCCCCCTGCCCAGCAGTTGGTTTCTGGAGATGTGGCAGTTGCTCCTGGCAGAGGGAGTTTGAAACCACTAGCCTGGGGGAGTTGCCGTTTGATGCACACAGACCCCTTTCAGAGACTCCAAGCTGGCACGTCCCACCCTCAATTTTGTCCTTAGGCAAGGGTAAACTTGCTCAAGGACAAAAATGTGTTGAGTGGATTTGGTAGCCTGCTCAGTACCAAGAAAATGTAAAAGAATTGGTGGCAATGCTGGTGTATGAGCTTTCTTGCAGAGTTCTTTCAGTTAATTAGCAACAAAGTAATGCCATTATTGCTGTGCAATGAGAAGATTCATTGAATAATTTTTAAAAAAATTATCTACATGAAAACTAGATAATTGAAACAGTGGGGTACCTTGAGTCATGAATTATCCTACCAATGTTGATTTTAATCTCTAATATTCTTTGGACTATCCAATTTCATTTGGAGCAATTGCTACTGAAGGGAGGATGTTGAACACACACAAAAACAGTACTGCCAATCATACTTTCTTACTACAGGGTAATTCCATGTTTTAAAACCTTGCTTAAATTAATCTGTTCCTGCCTTAACTTTTATAATTCCAATAGTAGTATGACAACTATCGAACAGGATTGTCTTCCAATGAAAATTAAGCAGTAATGAGCTCATTAAGGAAGAAACCAATTGTCAGGTGAACTTACTGCAAAGGAAAAAAAATATCAAGTTTTACAGGCTCTGTTAGGTGTGTGGGGAGAAGTAATGGTACTGGTGTAGTATGTTTTTAAACAAACTACTAAATTGACTATAAATTATGTAATCTAATTCTCCTGTTTCAAAACTTGCAAGGTTACCCGGAAATTTCTCTGTACACACATGTAAGAACTGCTCTTGTATCTTGCTAAAGGAAAGGTGTGGCTAGTTCAATTACAGTTCTAATATTAAGGCCACCTACTGTGGGAAGGGGGTGTAAAATGTCATGATTTATGTATTAGCACTGCTGTAGTTTTTGTAAACCCACTCAAAATAAGAACCTCCCTCTAACTCTACTATTGAAACAAAGTTTCATTACCACTAGGTGCCACCATTCCCTCCACTAGCAGTTTTATAGTGAATGTGTACATCACACAAGAGAAGCTAAAGCATCTCAGCACTCTTCCCTGTAGGGAAAAAATATTAACGGTTTGCCCTGTAACTACTTCTCTTAATGGAAATTTATCCCAAAAGTCTCAATCTGATACACAAGTCCTGTATTCTGCAGAAGCTGGACCTAAATTTGTCAGCAGCTTTAGTGATAATAAATGTGACTATCACTAATATAGCATCTGGTATTTATTAAGTTCATTGACATTGTCCACATATTTTTGATTTTAGTATCAGATTTTTGGGATTTCTGTGTTAGCTACACCGTCCAGTGATGCTACACTGGTTTACATGCAAGCTGGATTTTGTTACACAGGCATGAGAGTTGGAACTTTTTAAACAAAAGCTCTGGAGCATGATTCTACAACTGAGGAACACATTAGGTCCTGCTGGCAAGCAACTAAATTCCACTGGCTACCCCAACTCCAGGGCAGAGGTTAAAAGGCATCCAGCAGTGCTTTCTACTCAGGGGCGGCTCTAGCTTTTTTGCTGCCCCAAGCACAGCAGGCAGGCTGAATCCGCGGGACCGGCGGACCTTCGGCAGGCATGTCGCCAAAGGCTGCCTGACTGCCACCCTCGCAGGGACTGGCAGGGAGCCCCCGTGGCTTGCCGCCCCAGGCACCCACTTGGAGCGCTGGTGCCTGGAGCCACCCGTTTCTACTCTCACTAGTTATAAATTTACACTATTTCCAGTGAAAGACTAAGTGGGAGAAAGGTGCCCAGGGTTGTCAACTAATCTGCCAGTAGTCTGTTTCAGACAGCATTTTTTCAAAAACGAAAAGTGAATTTGTAATAGTACTTAAAAGCACATGCGTCCCACTGATTGCGTTTGCTTAACTACCTTGAAGAGATTCTATAACCTAATGCTTCAGATGCTTTGGGTAATATTTAGTTGGCACAATAGGAATTTATACTTGATCTTATAAATGATCAATAGATTTACTACAGTGCTTGCATTTTCAAAACATTTTGAGTTAAGGGCTCAAGTCCCTTAAAACACTTAAAATAATTCAATTGAATTAGTCATCCCTTGATTACATTACTATTAAGAATAAAAACACCAATTCATTTGACACTTTTTCTGCCACTGACAATGGACAAACAAGATATGTATTCAGTCTAAATGTTTCACTAGGGTTGAGTTAAGTGACTTGCTCCTTTTCTATAATTTAAATTAAGAATGAAATTGAAGCTGGATATCTGAAGTTACTTTAAGATAAACCTTCCATTTAAGAAAAGGTCTTTCAAACACCCAGTGTTAATTTATAAAAAATACTGCTGTAAAAGAGGGAAAGGATTCCTTTGATTTATTGTAAACAAAACTCTAAATGAAAGCTCCTGAAGGTGTTGCAGTAGCAATAAAAATGTACAATAAACTGCATTGTTGACAAGTTTCCAGTTATCCAAAAAACATTTAAAATATTCACACTATTTTGTTCAATAGTTTCAATGCCTAATAGCCATCATAGTATTCACATTCAGATTTATCTGGTAAGAAAATGATATACTTAATGTTTGGTTTCTTTACTAGTTGCAGATGTATTAGCGCCTCCTCTTGGAGGGCAGATCAGTCAACTTTAAGGAGACAGCAGAATGGTAGACACTGTGCAAGAGTCAAACAACTGAATATTTACAAAAAAGCAAAACCACACCTAAAACAAGAGAATTAATACTTCCCACAGTATACACAGAAGGAAGATAGATGATTTTACCTTCTCTAAGTATGTTTGTTATATGCCTTCATGAACAAGAATTTTGTTGAATCCAGGTACTTAATCATTTAAGAAACATGTTGAACACAAAAGGCCTGCAAAGCAATAAAAAGAATTAACAATTTAAATAGTACTTTTTAAATAAAAGGTTTTTTCCTCATCTCCCTTGAACAAAAGGTAGAAGTGAATTAAGTGCTTACGAAGGGTTAGTAATGGGTGAATACCAAGCATAGTGTTCACAAGTGCTTTACACACACACACAGAGTTCTGCAAAGTCTCATTTGTGACTTGAGCCACTCTTGAGCAGTCAAGAACAGTGTGGAATGTGGACAAATGGGAGTTAAGATGAGATCACAAGTTATTTCCCTCATGATCCAAGTCTAGTATTCACTCATTGCTTCAGAGCTGCAGAGAATAAACCTAGCATCCTGCAAAAATTTAAACAAGAACATGCCAAGGAGAATATTTCCAGTAATAAACTAATTATTGATTTACTGCTGAGGGTAAAGATGGACCCAAATAGAAACAAAAAACTACATAAATGAACACTTCCAAAATTTAGGGAAATCCAGATCAGGATCTAGATTCTGTCCTGTGGCTTAGGCCTAGCTATAATTTAGACATTTGTTAAAGTAAACCAGGAGAAAGTAAATGCAAGACTGATCTTGCCACACAGTCTTAGCTACAAAATCAAACTTTTAGACTACATCAGTGTTAGAAATGTAGTTTGTTAGATACTTCACTTAAGTCAAACTAAGGACTCTAAACATTTACTATGAGGATCTCCATTATAAAGGCTACCACACTGCAGCTACCAAAACTATTAAAGTTCTTTAACTCCTCACCCTTTTAGAATCACCTAATCCACAAAATCCCTGGCTTCAAAACTGGCTACTGCTTAACTTTCCTTATATCTTTCAAGACTCAGGCTTTGTAGTTTCTCTGTTTCCCCATTGTGTAATGGTATATTGTTGCTCTAGTACATGCAACTTTTTAAATATATAATACATATTTTAAATTCTTAGCTCCCAACATGGCATGTTGTACCAGGACCTTTAATTAAGAACTTTCAGCTAATGTTTTAACATTCAAGATATATGTAAGTATGAGGTAAAAAGGTGTATGCAAACAAAATCTAACTAAAAATCTCTCATACTAAAATACCCAGTTTTCTGGAATAAATTTTAATTGTCACACTGAGTTTAGCAATTTAAAAATTTCCCATTGTGCAAATTTTGCCATGTTAAGTTATTAGTAAACTTCATCCTCAAAATGTTCAGTTCATTCAAAAGAGTCTCTTGGACTCAAGCACATTATTTCTAATAGCGGTGGGTCTTTTGGCAAGCATTTGTAACACTACTTGGAAAAAAATAATTCTCAGTGGATATTTACAAATGAACGATGGTAGTCACAGCATTAAAAAAAAATTAAATTAGTCAATATGGTAGCACAGTGAATATTGACAGCAGGAGACCCCAGTTTAGGGTCTTCTGCCAAAGTGCAAGGGGAGGGCAAGCACATGGTTTATTTCCATGATGGAGCATTCTAACCACAAGGCTCTTGTAACTTCTGCCAGACAATTCATTAAGTGGCACATTCTCTCTGAGAAGCACTATAGTAGCAGTGTTTGCTGGAGTAAGAGTTAGGAAAGTTAATGAATTCTGAGCTAAGAAGAAATATTTTAAAAATGCCAAAGATGCATTTGATAAAAAGTGGTAAATCTCCTATAGTGGCAACAATGTTTTCTTCTGTGGTTAAAGATACTAAGAATCATTTGTATGGGATATTTTCTTCCACAATAAAGTTTTTAAGTTGTTTAGTATTAAAGAATGCTCCATTTCCATCTGGTTTGCTGTCACTTTAAGGGCAATACAAGAATACAGTTGTTTCTCTAACTCTTCGCGTATTTCTGACGGAGCACCGCGAAGCAGATAGTCTTTTAGTAACTGGCATACTTTTGCCAAGTTGGGCTGAATTATTTCTGTGGTACATTTCATTTTACTTTGGTCGCATAGAGTTCTACAGTCTGTACCATAAACACAGTCCAAGTCAGACTCACAGTGACGATCTTTAAATAATTCCTTCAAATTAATTTCTGGCACAATTTTTCTCATGTCCACCATTTTCAAGTCATATTTATCATTATAACCCAAGTTTTTGGCACTGGTATCACACATAAGAAAATTCCCATAAGGTCCATGGAAAATGTCTTCCACAAATTCTAAAAGCCCTATAGCTATTTTTGCCTTTCTAGGCCATGATGGAGTAAACCACTGGTCCATGCTTCTTCTGAAACTAGAGGGAATGAAAAGTTCTAAGATCCATGGAAGGCTTATTCCATAGAGAGAGGTATATGCAACTCTTTCCATCACATAGAGATCTCCACAAAACCCCATCAATTTTGGAGTGTGTTCTTTATCCTGGAGGATCACCATAAGCAGAAACTCATTTAGCTGCAGAAGAGCCCATGCTGACTTTGCTTCTGGTAAGGAAACTCGACCATCTTTGTTTCCATCAGCAACTGACAGGATGAGATTAACCAGTTCAGAAAGATTTCCCTGTTCACCCAACTTTCGCTAGAAAAAACAAATATATATATTTAATTCCATATACATTTTTCTTCTGAAAACTATTAAACTGGTTACCTGCCCTGTGTTTTTATATTCAATGAAGTATTTTACCCATTCTACTCAGCTGCATGTGGAACCTACAGCAGCGTCTATGGTCATACTCTGTTTTTGTGGGTTTCAGTAATGATACATACGCAGTGCTTTTTAGGACTATACTGAGTGTTCCTTTCATGTGTATGGTGCACTGAAAGTATGTGTTTTCTTCTTTTTCAAAGTCCTAAAAATTTGCACTTTGTCCTCAGTAAGAGAGTCTTTAATAAATTATGTTAGGTATCGTATAATTAGAGCTCTTGATTAATCGCAGTTAACTCACGCAATTAACAAAAAAAATTCAATGCGATTAAAAAAATTAATCGCGATTAATCGCACTGTTAAATAATAGATGACCAATTGAAATTTATTAAATATTTTTGGATGTTTTTCTACATTTTCAAATATATTGATTTCTATTACAACGCAGAATACAAAGTGTACAGTGCTTACTTTATATTATTATTTTTGATTACAAATATTTGCACTGTAAAAATGATAAAAGAAATCGTATTTTTCAATTCACCTCATACAAGTACTGTAGTGCAATCTCTTTATCGTGAAAGTGTAACTTACAAATAGAGATTTTTTTTTTTTGTTACATAACTGCACTCAAAAACAAAACAATGTAAAACTTTAGAGCCTACAGTCCTACTTCTGAGTCCACTCAGTCTTACTTCTTGTTCAGCCAATTGCTAAGACAAACAAGTTTGTTTACATTTATGGGAGATAACTGCTGACTGCTTCTTATTTATAATGTCACCTGAAAGTGAGAACAGGTGTTTGCATGGTATTTACGTGCCAGATATGCTAAACATTCACGTGCCCCGTCACGCTTCGGCCACCATTCTAGAGGACATGCTTCCATGCTGATGATGCTCGTTAAAAAAATAATGCACTAATTAAATTTGTGACTGAACTCCTTGGGGGAGAATTGTATGTCTCCTGTTCTGTTTTACCCACATTCTGCCATATATTTCATGTTATAGCAGTCTCGAATGATGATCCAGTACATATTAGTTTTAAGAACACTTTCACAGCAGATCTGACAAAACGAAAAGAAGGTACCAATGTGAGATTTCTAAGGTTAGATACAGCACTTGACCCAAAGGTTTAAAAATCTGAACTGCCTTCCAAAATCTGAGAGGGATGAGGTGTGCAGCATGTTTTCAGATGTCTTAAAAGAGCAATACGCTTGATGCGGAAACTACAGAACCCGAACCACCAAAAAAAAAAATCAACCTTCTGCTCGTGGCATCTGACTCAGATGATGAAAATGAACATGCATCGGTCGCTCTGCTTTGGATCATTATCGAGCGGAACCCATCATCAGCATGAACGCATGTCTTCTGGAATGGTAGTTGAAGCATGAAGAGGCATATGAATCTTTAGTGCATCTGGCACGTAAATATCTTGCGATATCCGGCTACAACAGTGCCATGCTAATGCCTGTTCTCACTTTCAGGTGACACTCTAAACAAGATGTGGGCAGCATTATCTCCTGCAAGTTGTAACCAAACTTTGTTGTCTGAGCAATTGGCTGAAGTAGGACTGAGTGGACTTGTAGGTTCTAAAGTTTTACATTGTTTTATTTTTGAATGCAGTTATTTTTTGTACACAATTCTCCATTTGTAAGTTCAACTTTGATTATAAAGAGATTGCACTACAATACTTGTATTAGGTGAATTAAAATATACCATTTCTTTTGTTTTTTACAGTGAAAATATTTGTAATCAAAAATAAATATAAAGTGAGCACTGTACACTTTGTATTCTGTGTTGTAGTTGAAATCAATATATTTGAAAATGTAGGAAACATCCAAAAATATTTAAATAAATGGTATTCTATTATTGTTTAACAGTGCGATTAATCGCAATTAATTTTTTTAATCGAGTGATTAATCACAATTAATTTTTTTAATCATTTGACAACCCTACTTGTAATAAAAACATTATGTGGTTCTTTTGCTATAAAAGTTTTGAGAGTTCAAACAACATTTCATAATAACCAGAGCTTGTTTTACTATGATTCATCTGATTAAAGCGTGCATCTTGCAATAGTGACGAGAGATTACAACAAGGAATACAATCATTACTAGCCAGTCATAAATATGTTTTTAATATCGCTTAGTACTACTCCTATACTAATAAATGTACTTTCATACTTAGTTCTGTCACTTACTATAATAACTTTCATTTCATTGGTTTAACAAACTAGCAGGACTGCTGCGCTTTTGAATAGGGAAGTCCTGTCTTTTCTGGAATCAAAACTGTGCTACACCCATCTATGACCAGTATAGTCAGGATATTTTTTCAAGTCCTTGTCTCCACTGAACATTTTCTGATATTGTCCTGCAATTACTCTAGCATCTCTGCAACTCCACCAATGTTAATTATAGGGGAAAGCACTAGTGTAAACCAGTCACCAACATTCTTACCATGATGTTGCATAGACCTGCTTTGAGTAGGGGTAAGTGACACTTGTAGATCAGCTGTCAGGTTTTCTGTTTGGTTTTTAAACTCACACTGCCACAGTTGCTATCACTACTGGAGCTGCATAAGTGATAGAGTAATGGAGGGAGAAGTTCAGAAAACCCTCAGTGTAAACATATCCTTAGATCAATGCTTCTATATTGGGAAAACTCGGTTGCAGACTACTTAGTAGGATAGAATAGTTTTTAGTATGGTACAAAAAAAATGCAGAGGAAGAGATACCTATTTCTCTGGTCACAATTGTTAGCAAAACTGATGCTAGCAGAGTTCTAGAGAAACTGTATTTAAACACTGATCCAATCCCAGTAGGAATAGGGCCGTAGGGACACCACTAGCATTATAAATACAACCATGTCATGGGACCAGGCTACAACACAGTTCCAAACAGTAGTTTAAGAAAGACTTTAAGGGCCAAAAACAGGTTCAAGCCTTAAACATGTGAAAGTTGCATGCTAGTTTCCATTCCAATAACTATCCTGCCACCTCCACCCCTCTATTTTTGTTTTTCTTTTAAATTACTCATGATTGTCTCTAACATGTAACTCTGGGTCTGAAATTTTTCATGCTTATGTGATCTACTCACCAGCAACCACTGTAGCCCAGAACATAATTGAGTTTTTCCACAATCACAGTAGATTCTTAAAGTGAAAAAATATGAAAATTGTTCTCAAAGCTAAAATAGAAGGTCATCCCTAACCTAACTGGAATTGTAGCTTAGTAGGTTTTGACTTTACATTTAATTTGTGTACTCTTCCTGCTGAAAACAAACGAACAGACAAAAAGAGAGTCAGGCAAAAAAAAAATTTTTTTTTTGAATAAAAAATAAATGTGGTGAGAATGAGCATCTATGCTCATTTTCTCTTCTTTGACATATACTTACTTTAAAAAGACCATATACCATTTCTTTGAATTTCTGAACAGTAGTTCCTCTAGTTGGTTTATCAAACAGAACTATTTCTTTTCTTGGTTCCAGTTCAGTTCCAAGATCAAGATGAATAGTTTCTTCCATCTGGCATTTTATGACACCTTGTAGATTACCCCAGATTCCTAAATACATCTATGTAGAAAAAAGGCAATGAGATAGTTACATAAAAATTTCCTCAAAAGCTCTCCTGTCTTCTACTGTCCTGAGTCAGAATGCTGGGTTTGCTCATGGAAACTGCAAGGAGCCAGCATTCAGACTAGTAGTGGCAGCTCCCTGTACAATGTGCCACTTTAAAACATATTTAAGAGAGACCACTGCATCCAAATATGATTTTAAAGAGCAACATACCCATGCTCCATAAAAGTGTGCTTTATACAATGGCAACAGCAACTTCTCCATTAAGGCCGATAAGGGGCATTTATTTTGGTTTCGTGGTGCAGGATGGGAGAGAGGAAGCACATTGTACTGGAACACAGGCACTCTGTCAAAACCTTTAATGGATGTGGAGTGTCAGCAATTTTGGAAGTGACCGTGTAATGAACGTAAGAACATAAGAATGGCCCTACTGGGTCAGACCAAAGGTCCATCTAGCCCAGGATCCTGTCTTCCCACAGTGGCCAGTGCCAGGTGCCCCAGAACAGGTAATCATCAAGTGATCCATCCCCTGTCGTCCATTCCCAGCTTCTGGCAAACAGGCTAGGGACACCATTCCTGCCCATACTGGCTAATAGCCATTGATGGACCTATCTTCCATGAATTTACAGACACTCCACAACTTACGCAAGTGTTCGGTTCCGGAACGCCTCGCGTAACTCAAATTTTGCGTAAGGCGGAAATGTATACCCAACCATTACAAAGGAAAAAAAAAAAGACCTCCTATTTCTAGCTTACGGAACTTTTTCCATAAGTGCGGATTTGCATAAGTCGGGTTTGCATAACCCAAGGGGCATCTGTATCTAGTTCTTTTTTGAACCCTGTTATGGTCTTGGCCTTCACAACATCCTCTGATAAGGAGTTCCACAGGCTGACTGTGCGTTGTGTGAAGAAATACTTCCTTTTATTTGTTTTAAACCTGCTGCCTATTAATTTCATTTGGTGACCCTAGTTCTTGTGTTATGAGAAGTAGTAAACAAAACACTTCCTTAAGTTTCCTTCTACTTTCTCTACACCAGTCATGATTTTATAGACTTCAATCATATCTCCCCTTAGCCGTCTCTTTTCCAAGCTGAAAAGTCCCAGTCTTATTAATCTCTCCTCATACGGAAGCTGTTCCATACCCCTAATCATTTTTGTTGCCCTTTTCTGAACCTTTTCCAATTCCAATATATAATTTTTGAGATGGGACGACCACATCTGCACATAGTATTCAAGATATGGGTGTACCATGGATTTATATGGCGGCAACATGATATTTTCTGTCCTATTATCTATCCCTTTCTTAATTATTCCCAGCATTCTGTTCGCTTTTTTGACTGCCGCTGCACATTGAGTGGATGTTTTCAGAGAACTATCCACAATGTCTCCAAGATCTCTTTCTTGAGTGGTAACAGCTAATTTAAACCCCATCATTTTATATATATAGTTGGGATTATGAAATGGGATTTCATAGCTGCTCTAGTGCAGGGTCCACACCAAGTATAGGTTTATTGTACATTTAAAGTTTCAGTATTTTAAAAGTGGCATGTGTAAAATTAGAGAAGTAGAGTGTTACACAGTATTACAAAGCATACATACACATCTGTATAATATGATATGCCAAATCATCAAATACACTAAGAAATACCAAATCTATACATTTATTGGACTGTAGTATTTATCTAAATCACTGTAAAAGGTAAATCTCTGTCCTCATTTCCCCCACCACCCAATTTATCACAGATTTGCTGAACCTAGCATATTGGATTTAAAATGCCTAGAGTTAAAAATGATTGAGTGGCAAACATCCTATTTCATGGAAACAGAAATGTGAATTAAATACAAAATTCAGACAAGTATAATCCTTGTAAAATGGAATCAAACATTATTCTGAATTGTTGTCTCCTGTTTCTAAGATAGAGTTCTATATTGGTTGACAGCTCAGATTTCTCACTTTTAGAATGGGATTATAAATGCAGTGCCAACAGGATCCCTAGTTTAAAATTCTCATCCCTTGAATATCTCAGTGAGCAAAACTTTAAATAAGTAAAAATTTAACTGAAGTCAAGTCATTTTACAATAAGGTCTGTTTAATATTCTGCAAAAACCAAACAAACCCCAAACCTGGTTTAGATAAAGAATCATATGATTAGCTCATATAAATAAAGTCATACCTGGTTATTGGGTTTTGTTGACAAACATTTTCCAAAATACAGTGTTTCTTTAGCGCAAAGACTACTACATGCTGATCCATCAATAACTCCAGTCTTATATTTATCACACTGAAAGACAAAGAGGAAAATAGTTTCTAGAAAGAACTGAAGAATAGAAAGAGGAAACAATACACCTGTTGGCTTTTCCAATATCTATGCTTTTATCCTGTAAAATGAGGGGGGGAAAGCTGTACAAACTCTGAAACGTGTCTGTGGTACAAAAAAAAATTCAGATATGTCCCAATTCTGCAAGTTGCTCTGCAGAGGTGAACCCCCTGCATCTGCATGGGGACCCTATATAGAATAGAATACAGCAGAATATTGAAGCTAATGGGGCTCTGTGCAGGCCCAGGGGTCTACCTGCATGGAGCAGTTTGCAAGATCAGGGCCTTATTGGGTCAATGATTCAAACTGGGAGACAGACTGGGAGCTTTTACACTCGATCAGAAGAGACTTACCGAAAACAAGAAACAAACAAAACAAAACTACATGCTAGATGGTGCCAGAAGATGCCTTGGGGGGGGGAGGGGAGGGGAGAGGAAGGTGGTGAATGTAAGAAGCACAATGATTGCTAATGCCTCAAACTTGTTAAGGCATCTGCTAACACGTATCTCTGCTTTTACATGGGGGTCTGCTAATATGTATTTCTACTTCCACGTGGAATCCTCAAATTTCACCATTCTGAAATAATAGAAAAAGGAACAGCCTGCCATTGAGTTCATAGTATTATTTCTTTTAATCTGTATATTCTTTCAGTAAAAAAGGATGTCTATGTTTTGGTATAGGTACTCTGACACATTTTAAAAATACAAGTATAAGATTAGATTATTCTAGCAACTCCCCTTTGACTAATAATTAAGGTATAATAGACCAGCAAACAAAAACATATTTAAGATCTTTACAATCTTTCACCAAAGTCCTCCCAATCCCTTGCAGCCAGGGAAAACAAATGGACAGCATGCCCTAAAAAGCCAATAAACTAAAATTATTTTGGACTGTGAAGGAGAAAGTTTCAGATCTACAGGGCCCCTGTGGAGAACACACTGCCAGCTGCTTCTCTCTTATAAGAGTGAGATTCTACCTGAGTGTCTTGTGGGTACTCTAGCAGCATGCATCATTTTTAACTCATCAGAAGGAGTTAAACAAAGGCAGCGGAATCACTAACTTAAAATTAGTATATCAATTATAATTGATTCTCCCACAACAAAAGCGTCACAAAGTGAATTTGATCACATGGCAGTTTACAACTCAGCCATTGAATCAATGAGAAAATAAAGTACAAAAATAATTGGTTTTAGCTGTAGGTAACTGAAATTAGGATTATTGTATTTGCATAACGTAATAGTAAATATTACTTTTTGATGGAAACTACTGAATAATTCAAAAGTAGATTCAAAGATGATAAAAAAGCTTAACAAACAGGACATATAAATATACTTACTATTATTTTCTTACAGTCATGACCTCTGCATAGCTCTGTGTAAGTGGAGTACTGAACATATATAATCCAGCTGCCAATAAATACTACTAGCCAAGAGATGAAGAGATACTTCATTCGCATATATGAGAAGCGAACCTGAAGATATAAAAGAAAAACATGAAGGTAATTAATTCAGGAATAGGCTGAACTGCTTCCATTGTCCTAACATGATTTGCCATTCAGTCTTTACAAAAACTCTATATAAAATCCAGTCATCTTTTTTATTAATGTGTAGTATCCTTTTAGAACACTAAGTTCCAGGATCAAACAGAACTGGTGCTGGATGCCAGCTATAGGGGAAAAAGAAGGACTCTGATAATAGAAATTGGAAAAATGAGACCAAAGGGAGGGTTGGTAAAAGTTTACCAAATTGTAAAAAAACTGAAACTGCCAAATTTCTACTACTTCCACCTATGCCAGTCCACCTGGAAGAAGCATTTATTGTCAGTTACTTAGAAGCGCTACTTCTGGAAAATCAGTTCCAACAGAGCAGAAACTAATGAAAGATATAACCTAATCCAGATGAAAAATAAATTTGAAATCATCAGTATATGGAGGGTGGTGGTGTAGAAGGAAATAATTCCCATGTGTTTGAACACTTTCCATTATGTGGCTAATTAGTGGAATTCAAAGGAGGGTGATGGAAAGTTCCATGTACTATTCTGATCTCCAACTGTCTTCTACATTGCCATATTTTCATTTTCTGGCTGCTTCCACCCCATCAACTACATGTTATCCCTTTGGACAAGGGAAGGTTGTTTGGGTTTTTAATGTTTGAGGGTGGGTTGCTGCTGTCCGGCTTAAAAAAACAAACAAGCAGGGATAGAGGCTGATCTGGCCATTTGGCCATTTAGCTTTTTCTTCCTGATAATCTGGAGTGCTCATGATCTGATTTTGCACTCAGGAACAGCAGAAAGTGTTGGAGAGAACAGAACAGCAGAGACCAGTCTTGGCAACATAAAGAGTGAGCATTCAGATTACGTAAATGTAAAATGCCTGTTCATTCTTCTTCAGCCACATGAAATCTGTGCTTTGTATAGAGAAACAGTGAGACTTGGCAGGCATGCAAGGAAAGGAAAGATGGGAAAGCAAGAGCATGGATATGAGAGGTAGTAAAGTACATAAAAGATTGTTTCTGAAGGTTCTTGTTCTTAAATCACAACCAGAGGCCTTTAAAGGTCCACCCACACCAAATATGAATACCAGTTTCAGCTGGAGATAGCAATTCCAGGAGAGAGAGCTCTGTAATATTGGATTGCTGTAAATGATAGTGTCTTTAAATTAAACCAGTCAAAGAGAATATACAAAATTGTTTAAGCATCTTAGCATAACATACTTCAATCTAAAATGCGATCTTACAAAGGAGAATAAAGACAGAATTTGCTGGAAATCTAAACAAAGTACACTGGTTCTCCACTTGTGAGGTACTCCCTTCTCTTCATGTGTCATTATATAATCCCTGCATCTGTAACTTTCACTCCATGCATCTGAAGAAGTGGGTTTTTTACCCATGAAAGCTTATGCCCAAATAAATCTGTTAGTCTGGAAGGTGCCACTGGACTCCTTGTGTTTTTTTTTTTTAAACAAAGTAGATTATCTTTTTTTTTTTAAATAAATATTAAAAAAAAAAACCCTCTGCTTTTAGTACTGTACTGATTTTACTTTAAATATCATTAGCTTTCATAATTATATTCCAACACACTTTTCCCTGAAGGAAAATAAAAATCGCCATGACATATTACTTTTGTTTTCCAGATATCTTCTAATTAGTGGTCTATTTAGTTTTATTTCTACTTGCTAGACACTTGGAAACAAGTATAAAAAGGAAGATTCTTTTGCCAAGAACCTCCTATTCTAAATAGAGCATATATAGACAATGGATGTGATGCAACACAAAGCAATGTGAATGAGTGGTGGAATAGCATGTGTCTTATTTGTTCCACAGTTTTGGTTTAGGATGGGTTTTTTTGTTTTTGTTTGTGTGTTTTTCTTGTGTCTATTTGTTAGCATTTGTCAGTTCACGCCTCTTGAAATTATTGTTTCAGGCTGTCTGAACATGCAGGCAGTCATCAGTTACACTCAAGTCACATTTATAAGCTTTTCTTCAACTGTAAGATCTAGAAACAGGGTGGATAAAAATCAATGATTTTTTTAATAAAAATATTTTTTTTATTTAAACTGAATTTTTAATTTAAATTAAATACATTTCTTTTAATATAAACCCATTTAAAATTAAATTAGCAATTATAACAACCTAAGTTAAGGCCGAAATTTATTATAATCTATTAAAATAATTTAAATTAAATTAAAGTAGTACATGCTTGCTACTGAGGTATTAGAGAAAGCCAAACTACTGAATTGGTAGAAGTCACTGGCTACGCACATGGAACAAGAGTTTGCTGCAGTGCTAAACCAGCTTTTAACAGAAGTAGCCTCTTCCTCAAAGGCAGACAAAATAGTGTCTTCATTTCAATTTATTCAGCGCTCTTCAGTTCAGTGACTAGTTCATTCAAAATAAAGAAACCAGTGCGAGTAGAAAAAGCAGGAAAGCTTGATTTCCTTTTCTAATCTATGAAAAATTAAAGCTGAACTTATCACGACTCTAGAAATGGGGACCCTGGGCAAAGGCCTGTAGTGCCTTACTCTGGCTCTGTTGTGATGGGAACTTGAAGAGGAACTAAGCCTGGTCAGAATCGTGACCAAAGTAGGAGATATTCTGTGGCAGCATTTAGGGCAGAAACAAAAACTATTTTACTCTGTTCCTACATTCATTTATGCCTCTGCAAAGGCAAGTGTTACTTGGTACTTTTCTGTGGCGGCTGCTATTTTCCCCTCCAAATCTAAGATTTTAATTTTTAACACACACCTAAGTCTAACCCTTACAGTTGTGAAGAAAACCTTCAGAACATGAACCTAGTGTAAACCAATGAAGTGAAGTCTACCCGAGTCCACAAACTCAGCAGATACTGCTCCTTTTCATCTCAATTGGGTGTTAGCTCTGAAGACTACTAAGAACAATTTAAATATCAATTTAGTTAAGTTTTGCCACTGAACAAAGTCTGTAAGTAGGGTGACCAGACGTCCTGTTTTTAAAGGGGGCAGTCCTATATTTAAGGCCTCCTACAGGTGTCCTGACTTTTTCTTAAAAATGGGCAAATTGTCTCGTATTTTCTGTTTCCCTCCTCCCTTCCACATCAGTACTCGTGGGTCCTGCTGCTGGCTGGATCCCTGCTTGCCAGCTATCCGCCCACCAGCGGTGAGTGGGAGGGTCCAGTGGCCAACAATGGGGGTGCAAGGCTGGTGGCAGGGCAAAGTTGCAGTGTGCGGGGCCGGCCGCTCCCCCTGCTGGTCCATCAGTGCAGCCCCTGCTGAGTGCCGGCTCTCAGCCAGCAGGGCCTCACTCCCTGTCCCGTTTCCGACCAGCAATGACTGCATGCTGTGGCAGCCAGTGAGTGAGGGCAGGTCCTAGGCAGCGGCTGGTTACGTGTCACCTCTATTGTCCACCATTTATGTGCTCCCCCTCTCACTGTCTGCTCCCTGCTTTGCCCCTTCATACACACACACACATTCCTGCTGCTCCTCCATATCTCCCCCGGCAGGGCACATCCTGCTCCCAGTGCTGTGTGGAGAACCAACCCCTAGTTGGAGTGCTCAGCTCACTGGCAGGCTCCTTCCTTCCACCACTTACTCTGGCTGGGCCAGTGCCCCAGGCAAGCCCAAGACACTGTGGCCCGGGGTGCTGGCCAGGAGGAGTCAAAGCCCCACATAGTGCCAGCACAGGGTAGCCTCTCCGCCCCTCAGCCAAGCTCTGGAGTGGTGGGGTGTGTGTGTCATTTCCAGCCTGTTCATGCCCTGAATCTGCAGGCTCCACAGCAGACCTCCAGGCACCCTCTTCACCTGCCCCCTCCCACCCTGGGTGCTGCCCCCAGGGACAGCAGGGCTTCTCTGTCCCCTAGGCACCCTCTGCTGCTGAGCGACCTACCTGGCCGGGTTCGCTGAAGCTCCTGCAGTCAGGTTCCCTGGGCCCTGGTGCACAATGCAGCCTTAGGGCTTAACCCCTTCCTGCTCTCGCTGTAGCTGCAGGGGGGTGCAGGGACAGAAAGACAGGAGGTGGCTGGGTTATGTCGGTGGCCAGCAGCAGCCAACAGGAGGTATTAGCTGCCTTTCAACACTGTGCGGGCAGGAAGGGACGGGAGCTGCTTCCAGCCACAGGGCGGTGGGGGAAGACATGAGCTCTGCAAAGACACGGGCCAGGTCATCCCTTCCCTTCCCCCTCCCCCTCCCACTCCTGCGGCTGGAAGCAGCTCCCGTCCCTTCCCTCCCGCACAGTGCTGAAAGCTGGCCACATTCTGGTGTGAACTCTGGCAGAAATCTGGGGTGGTGGTAGTGCATGTGACCTTGCATGCCCTCCTCCAAATGTTACCTCGGGAACACGCGGCACCAAGTACTAGGAAAGGCGAGTCCGTCCAGGGGCCCAGGGTCGGTCGGACACACACACACACACACACACACGTGAGAGAGGTGTATGGGTCACCTCTCCCCCGGCGATCCCATAAGTCTTAATGATAAGAAGATAAATAAAAAGAATCAAACTAGAGAAGGGCGACAAAGGTGTGACAAGATTACGGCGATCAACAGATGGCTCAGGCAGTGGTGCTATAAGGAGGGCTTTGGGATGTATGGCCACTGGGAAGCAGTCATGGACAGAGGACTGTTCTCTCGGGATGGACTTCACCTGAGTAAGGAGGGAAATAGACTTCTAGGATGGAGGCTGGCACAACTGATTAAGAGAGCTTTAAACTAGGAATTTGGGGGAGATGGTTGGGAGATGTCCAGGTAATCTCCACGCTGGAATTTACCATTGAGAGGGAAGAAAACGAACTAAGAAAGGATACAGCCGTGGGTATATGAATGGACATAAAGAGGAAGGGTAGTGTAGATACCAGTCTAATAGGTGATACTGGTGGTAGAATGTCTGTGCCTAATCGGGTAAAGAATGTCAGTGAAGCCGAATGGCAAAAATTAAGATGTTTGTACACTAATGCAAGGAGCCTAGGTAACAAAATGGAGGAACTAGAGCTACTGATGCAGGAAGT